AACCTGTAATAATAATAAATTATATACATAAAATCATACAATCTGGTATCAACAGCTATATAAAAGCTTTATGGTAAACATTCAAAATCATAACAGAACCTGTATTATTGCAAAGAGGCAGAGAGTCAGTAGTGCAAAATATCTTCTCAACAGTGTTGGAACATATGCAAAAATGTGTTTAATGTTAGGTTTGTAGAATCATTTTGGGTCGAACTGCAAATCAGCTGCATTTGGATCAAATGGGTGATTGGGCAAAATTTCAATTTTCCGAGCCACTACGTACAAGAATCAAACTGGAACTGACTTGTGCATGACTGAAAATGCAAGGTTCAGTTGGGAACAATAGAATGGAGAACAGCCTGTTTTATTTTTTCTTCTTGGTATTTTTTCTTCCCATGATGGACAAGAGGTAAGCTGGATCTCCTGTCTAATCAACAGGTATATTTGATGGTTAGGCCAGTAAATGATTTTATTTACTGATTAACTGACAACTGACCAATAGAGGGGGAAAAAGGAGGAGCGAGAAAAAAAACTATACATCCAGGTTGGATTCTGCTAGATAATGTCACTGCAGTTAACGAGGTGCAGTGATAATGTTTTTTTTTACCCTTCTGTGTCTGTGTGGGATTCTAGTGTAAGATTAGGCTTAACTTGCAGCTGCATCTATCGAGATTTCAACTGCCTCGGACTCTTGAAGAAACTTGGAATTCAGGAGATTGACATTTTGTCATTGATCCCAGTGTGATACTTGAGCAAATGTATAGTTAAAAATTTTTTGGGTTTTGTAAACTGTTTAGGGAAAGAAAATCCTATGTATTTTTTTTAACAAGTGTTCAGTCTAGTGTGTGTTGTGTAAGTGTGTGAACACTATGCAGTGTTTCCTAACGTCAAGCACGGTAACGTTATAGTTGTAAATCCACCAAGCACCAACCCACACAAGCACCTATTTTTTCTGAACAAAGTTGTATTTGTATTTGTGCACAATACACATATACCTAATTCACATGCCTAAAACAAACACACCATCACAATTGTCGCATACTAATCCCAAAATGAAATTGTGAGTTGGTAGGAGTCCTGCTCTCCAATCCACTATCAGCAGTAGTGCCATGGCTTGTGAGAGTTTGAACAACTCAGTATTGAGGACTGCTGACCTCTTCATTGCTGCTACTTCCATCACTACTATTAGTTGAATTCAGCCTCAGTAATATTAGCAGCATGTCATTAAGTCCGAATCAACTCCCAGGAGGCAGTTGTTTTTTCCTATCCATTTCATGCTGCAACAATTTGTGTGTAGGTCATTGGTGCCACTCTTTATTGAGGACTTTGCACAGAGTACCAAAGTAATGTCCACAAAATCTGTTGGTGGTGGTGGTGGTGGTGGTGGAGATGAATCCAATGATGAGAATTCTGTTTACCCACCACTGCAGGCATCACTTTTATCTCTGGCCCAGGAGCTACTCAACTACAAGTATGATGAGGCAGATGAATTAGAAGAAGAGGGTGTGGAAAGTTCAGGCAGCAGCTCAGTATTTTCCCCGGCAGTTAGTGTGCATCCTGCATCTTATCCACCATCTCCAGGTCTATCTGTATCTGCTATAGAATCACAACATCCCAGACAGCTGTGAGACAGCTGTGACATCAGCTGCACTTGCTACCACTGGCACTCAAGGTACATGTTACCATAATGACTGCCACCAACACCACCCCCATTAACATAACAATTTCAATTAGCTGTAATCAACCAAGTACTAGTGTAAAGGCTAATATAAATTCAGCAGAGGCAAGGCAAATCTCAACCATTGTAACCACCCCTAACATTTCCACAAGCATAAATCAACCAGGTTGTACAGGCTGGTGTTGAGACAGTTTGATCTGCCACCAATGCAAATCCACCCACATCAGCCACAAGGCACAGGGTAAAGGCTAATATATCAAACCAAAGCAAAGATTTGAGATTACTTTTAGTGCCATCAAGAGAGCTGACTTGCAAGGTACAAGTGCTAGTGTGAAAAAACATCTGCAAAGATTCCACAAGTCTGTATCACTGAGGGAAGAAGCAGAAAAAGAAAGTATTATGGCAGGCATTAGGTTTATTGGTCCTGTAACGGATTTTGTGAAATTGTTACAACCTACCACCACCTATACCTCCACTACTACAACCACCACGGCAGAGCCGGGTGTGGATAGTGCCAGCAGTCAACAAAAGCACGTTGGATAGGAGTAGTGGGACCCTTCATCATCCATTGAATTTAAAAAAAGATTTTAAAAAATGAAAAAAAAATGAAAAAAAAAATCTTTAATAAAACGTACCTCTTGCCTAGCTGCCATTGCCAGTGCCACTTACACATTTTTTCTGCCTATACTGAGGGTGGCACGGGCTTTTTTAACTCTTTGTAGAAAATAAGTATTTCAAAGTGTAGGGGTGGTGCTGGTGGTTATCCCCTTGTTCACCAACGTTAAAAATAAATGTGTGTGGCTGCAGTTTACTGCACAAGTAAACCCTGCCTGCACTAAGTGTGGTAGTAGTAGTAGTGATCCGATCAGAGTACAGCATCATTAAATCTAAATAATCAAATTGCAAAGCCTTTTTCTGTAACTGCGTGCTGTGATGCTATGCGCACTGTGTACAGTGTAGTCAAACATAATAACGTTACAGTAGTAGTAAATCCAGCACATAGCAATTTATTGTCAGCACAAACATAATGCAGTGTGAAACCACTACAAAGTATTTAAAAAAGGGATTATACAAAAACTCTAAGTAAGCACAAATAAAATATATAAAGAGCAATCATTCATAATAGGGCTCACCAATATCTTAATAATTAAGTCAGCTCAACAGCTGCTAAACATTGAAGAAACTCCTCAAAAGTTCAAAACATGAAAATTACAAAACAATATGTTAGTGCTTAGTAGATATGCCCCCAATGATCAATTATTCACTACTACCACAAATAGAAACAAAGTATACAAATACTGTCAGAGTTTAATAACCTAATGTATCAAATATCCAAGATTTACAAGTGTGTCTAATGTAGCAAAAGGTTTCTTTCAGTATTTTGCTGTCACTCTTCTGTATTAAAGTTCTCCACTGCTGTACTTGATATTCAGTATGCAACAACTGTGTTCATGCACCTTGAAAAAAAAATCCATAAAGGGTGCATGGCGTAATACTGCTGTTACATTTATTGAAAATAAAACTTGCACAGTGTATATGTGAGACTGATCTCCAAGGCTTACAATGCCGGCATACCAGGTAGGGTTTATTCATGAAATGCTACCACTTCCTCTGCGTCATTATTGAATCCCTGTACTGTTCACTAGTCAAAACCGGACGTTCAAGTCCACAGGACGACAAGGTGCTGCAAGAGCCCTTTGTAGCCTGGAAATAAAAACCTGGACAGCGCCCTTCAACACATTTTTCTTGCAATTACCGGGCTTTTTCAAGATCTACGGTGAGATGTCAGAACACAGTGGGACTCCAGTTTAGACATGGTGGAAAGACCTTTGCAACAGTAGAGGGCAATCTATAGTCTATCTTCCAACTACTCCATTAGTATGGCTCCCCACTGGGGCATGAGGATTGGGCAATAATAGAGTAGTTCTTATTCCATATGTACAGGACAAACTTTGAACAAAGTAATTCTAGTTTCCATAGTCCATCTTCCAACTACTCCATTGGTATTGGTATTTGTGTGTCAGTGTTTGTATCTGTGTTTCAGTGTGTGTATGTATGTGTCAGTGAGTGTATCTGTGTTTCAGTGTGTGTATGTATGTGTTAGTGAGTGTATCTGTGTTAAAAGGTGTGTGTAGGTGTCATTGTGTGTATGTGTGTATGTGTCAGTGTGTATCAAACACAAGCATTGCATACAAACAGTGTAACCGGACGTATCTGTTCAAGTCAACAGTAAAGAGCTGTTTGCAGTGTGGAAATAAAAATCTGCACAGCGCCCTTCAACACATTTGACTAGTTACTGAACTTTTTTGAGTTCTACAACAAGATGTCAGAACACAGTGGAACACCACTTTAGACATAGAATAAAGACTTTTGCAATAATAGAGGGAAATCCATGGTCTATCTTCCAACTACTCCATTAGTATTGGCTCCCCACTGGGGCTCGAGGATTGGGCAATAATAGAGTAGTTCTTAATCCATAGGTACAGGACAAACTTTGAACAACAGTAATTCTAGTTTGGGACAGTTCATCATATTTCGGCTGAGACAAACAGCAGGATGAACTCTTTTCTGTTGGCATGAAAAAAAATCAGCAAAGTGGTTCGATAGAACTCAAATATTTATATTTTGTATCTAAATGAGAAGAGTTTTGTCTGTTATGGGCCGGTGAGTGACTGGACATTCCTTAAGATTATAAAATCAATGGTGACATCTAGCCTTTTTTATTGCATCCCAACTAAATTCATATTTTTTTGTGCCAACAGATTTAAGAAGTAGATTTACAGGGTTATTCATTAAAGTGAGAAATCAAACTGAATTTCACATTTAAGGTCGCAATAGCCAAATTGGAAAAATGATCTAAGTCAGCTATGTGTTCAGTTAGGCTACTTTGGCCTTAAATTTGAAATTCCCATGTTGGTAAAGAGCCGTGTCAATGTTTTCATCATCGCAGAATTCATTGTCTTATTTATCTACATTAATAAGGAAATCTTCTGTATTTCTTTATAATTTTAGTGAATATTATTTGAGTGAGACAGTGAAGAGTTAATATGTTTTTTGGCTAATAAGTATTACAGTGAAAAACTAATTTGAGTAAAACAGCTTGTTTGATTTTTTTGTTGTTTGTTTTGATCAAAAAGATAAATTGAATATATTTCCCCTCTGTACTGCCTTATGTGCAGTCCAAATGGTCTCTATTGATATGTCTAAGATGTAATTGGAAATAATTTTGAAGTTCAGTAGTGGGAGAATTATAGGATGGGTATTAAGAATGATGTAATTATGCCTCCAAAGAAATTAACTGCTGAATTAATTATTTTCAGATATGTCCAGCAAAGACATCAGCCAGCATCAGCAGGACTCCAAGGAAGCCACCAAAAAGGTATGTTTATGTTAACAGGAGAGTGGCTACAGATATAAACAGTATGATGTGTGTGTGTGTGTGTGTGTGTGTGTGTGTGTGTGTGTGTATATCTGCGTGTCAGTGCGTGTATGTGTAAGTGGGTGTATCTGTGTGTCATGGTATGTGTGTCAGTGTGTGTTTCTGTGTCAATGTATGTATATATTTGTCAGTTAATCTATCTGTATGTCAAGGTATGTGTATGTACAAACAACAAAGAGAGGTTTAGGCACTTCAAAGTTAAAGCAGGCAATTTTATTTGAACCAAATGTCAAATAGCAACATTTCAACCGGTGGGGCTTTTCTCACTTGCGTGTATCAATGGTAATTTCTGCAGGTGTATCCCTTGCCCCACTGTGTGCATCCATTGCTTGCTTGTTCCATTCTGAGTGAGTTGCACTTGCATCTGATGCGAGTCTCTGCTGGAAATGTGATGTACTGCTAAAGATATAAAGTGCTTCTATAAAGTGCTGATGTCTGCACTTTACCCAGTGTATAATGGTTATTGCTCTTGCCAACCAAACATCTAGATGTAGATGTTCTAAAATGATGCCTCCAATAAGTGACTCAAAGACTTGAGGAAACCACTAGTCTGGTAAGTTCTATTATACATAATAGACAAAAGACACAGATAGACCATGAAACTCAATTAGTTTAGGTAATAAAAGGAAATAAAATTTCAAACAGTTTGTAAGAAGTGACATGTGTAATTAGAGTTGAGTTATTGTTCCCTTGTGCCACTGGGCTTTTGGAATATCTGCATGAAACAATCTGAATCACCAGTTAGTCAATGGGAGAATTTGGATATTATCGGCTTTATTCCCCTCTAGAAACCAATTACATTAAAATTTCAGAATTTGCCTAAAGTTTTAAAGCTTAAGCGCACATACTATTATTATCAAAGTTATTTTTATATATATATATATATATATATATATATTTCCTGGCAAATCATGGCAGCATATACACATGGGTTAGCTCCTCCCCTACAGCCGATAGGACAGGAAAACCACCAAGGTTTTAAAAGGAGGCTCCATCCCTAAGGTCCTCAGTCTTTTTCCTGTCCTACATCCCTTAGGACATGAGCAATTTGCTCCCTTTACTTACGGACATGTATGGAATTAAGAGTCATTTTCTAGGCTCTTCTTCACTTCAGAGGCTTGCTGAAGAACGAGTGGGTCAAAATTTGCTCAAATTTCAATGCAACTGTATCCTATATCTACCAAGATGGGTCTCACAGAAACGTATTGATGGAATTCCAGCCCATAATGATCAGGGCACAGAAGAACAACCAGTGGCTCAGAATACCATGGCTGTTTGCTGGAGCCGAATAACTGTGCCAAGGTGGATTGGCAACCATGTCCTGACGGATCCTCGTGGTTGACGCAGATTGTTTGATGGCCATTTCTTGGAACTACCAGGTCCAGAAGTATTTTTTACATGCTAGGACCAGAATGCTCAGGTTCAGGATACACTGGCTCAAATTTAGAATTTTAGTATGATGTACATATTTTCCTGTTTTCGACCTTCTTAAAAAGGCAATGCAAGAGGTGACAGTGGAAGACTGTGTCGACTCTAATTCCTATGATGAATAAGATGATTCTGGAACCTCCAAGGGAAATTCCTGTATGTCCAGACCTATTACAAGGCCCCATGACACACCAGGATCCTCAAGTTCTGGTGTTGATGCGGGAGTCCATATTAGTATAGGCATCCCTGAGACGGTCATTGAGATCCTCTTACAATCCTATACAGGCTTTACTAAGCTTGACATGCTTTTGTCTGTTGGAATTACTCCTCGTTCAGGCCTTGAAAGGTTCTGTGTTATAACACTCTAGAGGAACACTTAGCTGCACTTTGCTTCATATAGGCATTGATTGAAATCATGCCTCCACTGAGTGTGGTGAAGCCAATATGTGACATACCAATGGTCACACGAGCCGTGACTGAACCATTATTCGAACCTCTAGAAGGAGCTTCCATGGTGGTAGCACAGAAAGTGCTGGTGGCTGGTACCCCAGCAAGAATAATGGGTGAACTCCAGGCTTGGTCCTGTGAACCCCCTTTCACTACTTTTCAACAGATATGGTCGTCTTGCATTTGGCACCTGAAGATCCTGCCTATGGTGAATGCTTATCTATGTCATTCTCTACCTGTACTGAAGGGTACCGATTGAGCGTTGATGCCCCTGGTGTTTTGCTTCATGTAAGCAACAATTGAACTCAAGCCTCCGCTGAGGGTGTTGAAACCAATATGTGACGTACCACTGGTCTCACAGACTCTGACTGTACTTCTAGCAAGAGCTTCCATGATGTTAGCCCAGACGTTGCTGTTGCTAGTGACTGGTACCTCAGCAGGGTGAATGTGTGCACTTGCTGCACTTTGCTTCATATAGGCATTGATTGAAATCATCCCTCCACTGAGTGTGGTGAAGCCAATATATGATGTACCACTGGTCTCACGGGCCCTGACTGAACCATTATTCGAACCTCTAGAAGGAGCTTCCATGGTGGTAGCACAGACAGTGCTGGTGGCTGGCACCCCAGCAAGGGAAATGGGTGAACTCCAGGCTTGATCCTGTGTACCCCCATTCACTGAATTTCAACAAGAGATGGTTGTCTTGCATGTAGCACCAGTGATCGTGCCCAAAGTGAGAGCCTTTCAATGCCGTTCTCTACCTGTAGCGAAGGATTTGGGGCATTCTCCACTTGTGCTGTTACAGCATCTCGTGGGCTTCCATGGCAATGGTCTCTGCTGAAACTTTGTAAAGTTGGCATTTTGACCTCTTTGAACTAGTTTGTCCTGCATTACATATTGGACATTGAAGCAATTAACGAGGCACAATTTGGACGTCACGTCCGTTCTCTACCTGTGCTGGAGGGTATCAGGGCACTCTCCTCTCATGCTGTTGCAGCATCATGGGTTGCCATGGCAATGGTTTCTGCTGACACTTTTTGTAAGCTAGCATTTGAACCTCCTTTAGACACGTTTGTCTGGCATTTCATACTGTTCGTTAAAACAGTCTATGATGCACAATTTGGTACTCAAGTACTTAACTCAGTTCATTCTTCTATCTATGTTGAATTATTCTGATAATTTGATTGGCTATTCTGTCCCTCCCTTTGTAAGCTTGGGTATTCCCCATGTGTATATGCTGCCATGATTAGCCAGGAAAGTGGAAAATTTATTCATACTTACCGTAATTTTCTTTTCCTGGCTATTATTCATGGCAGCATATACTTCCCTCCCATTAACGTCTCTATTTATGTACTGTAGAGCTTGTAAACTGACTGAGGACCTTAGGGATGGAGCCTCCTTTTAAAACCTTGGTGGTTTTCCTGTCCTATTGGCTGTAGGGGAGGAGCTAACCCATGTGTATATGCTGCCATGAATAATAGCCAGGAAAAGAAAATTACGGTAAGTATGAATAAATTTTCCACTATATACACGGAACAAAATTATAAACGCAACACTTTTGTTTTTGCCCCTATTTTTCATGAGCTGAACTCAAAGATCTAAGACTTTTATGTACACAAAAGGCCTATTTCTCTCAAATATTGTTCACAAATCTGTCTAAATCTGCGTCAGTGAACTTTGTCGAGATAATCCATCCACCTCACAGGTGTGGCATATCAAGATTCTAATTAAACAGCATGATTATTGCACAGGTGTGCCTTAGGCTGGCCACAATATTAGGCCACTCTAAAATGTGCATTTTTATCACACAGCACAATACCACAGATGTTGCACGTTTTGAGGGAGCGTGCAATTGGCATGCTGACTCAAGGAATATCCACCAGAGCTGTTGCCCGCGAATTGAATGTTCATTTCTCTACTAGTCGTCTCCAAAGGCATTTCAGAGAATTTGGCAGTACATCCAACCGGCCTCACAACCGCAGACCACTTGTAACCACACCAGCCCAGGACCTCCACATCCAGCATCTTCACCTCCAAGATCATCTGAGATCAGCCACCCGGACAGCTGCTGCAACAATCCGTTTACATAACCAAAGAGTTTCTGCACAAACTGTCAGAAACCATCTCAGGGAAGCTCATCTGCATGCTCATAGTCCTCATTGAGGTCTCGACCTGATAATGCACGGCCCCATGTTGCAAGGATCTGTACACAATTCCTGGAAGCTGAAAACATACCTGTTCTTGCAGGGTCAGCATACTCACCGGACATGTCACACATTGAGCATGTTTGGGATGCCCTGGATCGGTGTATACGACAGTGTATTCCAGGTCCTGCCAATGTCCAGCAACCTCGCACAGCCACTGAAGAGGAGTGGACCAACATTCAACAGGCCACAATCAACAACCTGATCAACTCTATGCTGCGAAGGAGATGTGTTGCACTGTGTAAGGCAAATGGTGGTCACACCAGATACTGACTGGTTTTCAGCTTCCCCTCCACCCCCCGGACACCCCCAATACAGTAAAACTGCACATTGCCTTTTATTGTGGCCAGCCTAAGGCACACCTGTGCAATAATCATGCTGTCTAATCAGAATCTTGATATGCCCCACCTGTGAGGTGGATGGATTATCTCGGCAAAGGAGAAGTGCTCAATATTTGACAGAAATAGGCCTTTTGTGTACATGGAAAAAGTCTTAGATCTTTGAGTTCAGCTCATGAAAAATTGGGGCAAAAACAAAAGTGTTGCGTTTATAATTTTGTTTAGTGTGTGTATATATATATATATATATATATATATACACATATATATATATATAGCAATATAGCATACAAAATACATAATCGAGCCCACTCACTCATTCACTAAACAGCGATTTCAAGTCTCACATATTGTAATAGTTTTATTTAAAAACACCTCAGCTACTCAAAAAATAATGGGGGTTTAGTAACAGTATATGACCAGGCTTATGCAATGTATGATCATATGCTGTAACTAAACCCCTATTATTTTTTGCCTGGGTGAGGTGTTTTTAAATTAAACTATTGAAATCTGTTAGACTTTAAATCGCTGTTTAGTGAATGAGCATACAGGTTTTATGATGTTTTTGTTACAGATTCAAATATAAGGTTTGCATTTCATTTATTTCACATTGAAATTCGCCAGATTGGTTACGTTGCCTTTGAGACCATATGGTAGCCTAGGAATGAGAATTTCCCCCATGATGGCAAACCATTTGCAAAAGTAGACAACCCAAGGTATTGCAAATGGGGTATATCCAGTCTTTTTTTGGTAGCCACTTAGTCACAAACACTGGCCAAAATTAGCGTTCAAATTAGTTTTTTTGCATGTTTCACATTCAAACAAATATAAATGCTAGCTTTGGCCAGTGTTTATGACAAAGTGTCTATGTTTGCAAATGGTATATCATGGGGGTAATTCTCATTCCTGGGCTTCCATACGGTCTTAACCCCTTCAGGACGGGTGACGGACGAGGTCCGTCACACAGGGGAGACCCTTAACGACGGGTGACGGACCTCGTCCGTCACGCGGTAAAATTAACCCCGGATCGCCGCTATCGCGGCGATCGCGGGGTTAATGGTGCTCCGGTATGCCTCTGCATTGGAGGCATACCGGGAGCACCCGGTCAAGCTGCCCAGCACATGTGCTCGCTCTGACCACAAGTCGGAGCGAGCACATGTGCTCTGTATACTCACCTACCGGCTCCCTGCACTTCCGGGTTCTGTGTGAAGTGCAGGGAGCCGGATCAGTGATGATCCTGCCCCCTGCTGTAAAAAAAAATAAAGTTTATTTAAAGTGTCCCCCCCCTTACCCATTTTAATAAAAAATTAACCCCTTCCCTGCCAATTGATCACTGACTACAGTGATCAATTGGCAGGGATTACATTTTACTATGATCTGATTTTTTTTTTTAACCCCTGAGGGTTAATTCTTTTTTTTTAACCCTCAGGGGTTAAATTAATTAAATTAATTAATTAAATTATTTTTAAATTATATATTTAGATAGCTGGGGTAGGTGGAAGTTAGTGGGGAATTGGGGGATTTGGCGTTAGGCTAACTAGGGGTTAACGTTAAAAAAAAGTTTTAAAAGAAACTTTAAAAAGTTAAAAATTAAGCTTAAAAAAATGTTTTAATAACATTTAAGTAAAAAAAACAAAAAAAACACACTTTACCTAGTCCAAATAAAAATTAACCCCTTCCCTGCCAGTCGATCACTGCCTACAGCGATCAAATAGAGATCACAGTATTATACTGTGATCTAATTTTTTTTAACCCCTGAGGATTAACTTTTATTTATTTTTTTTAACCCTCAGGGGTTCAATTTATTTAATTAATTAATTTAAATATTTTATAACTATATATTTTGCTAGCTGGGGTGGGTGGGAGTTATGGGAAAATGGGGAATTTACTGTTAGTGCTGCGTACTGCTAGTTAGGGGTTAACAG